CTGTGCTGCCCATCCACAGGACAGGGCTGGGCAGAAGGAGTGCGTGGCCCACAGCTCTCTCCATGGCCAGGGGGTTTATGCCATCGCCAGGTGCTGCACATGGCCCAGGGCTGAGTGCGCGATCAACGCCAGCTCCCCGGCGGCCGAAGGGGCCGAGTGCTCCCCGCGGGACCGTGTGCTCACCGGTAACACCCGAGCCTGATGGACAAGGGGGTTTCCTCCAGAAAAACTCTGGGATCTGGGGGTAAAAGGGTGGCTGTGAGTGCTGGGGTGGCAGGGAGGGTGTACATGTGCTGTGGGCACGGAGTGGAGAAGGTTCAGGCTCTCTCGGGACATCCTGTGGCACCGGGACGCTGCCGTGGCTGCCCCGTGCCCACATCCCCTCTCCCCGGGCAGGCTGCAGTTTCCACTCCCGCTCCRTGGGGCTGGGTGCCGGTGGCCGGCCCGTGGCGGGGCCGGGGCAGGGGCCCAGCCGCTGTGCCAGCAGGGAGGAGGCGATGGCACACGCCCTGTGCTGCCCCGCTGCCAGCCTCGAGTGCCGGCTGAAGGAGCACAGAGCCCTGGAACCGCAACAGGAGGTAGGGGTGGGACACTGCTCTGCCCATTGTGGCTGTCCCAGTGCAATGGTTCACCCACCCAGCTGGGTGACATCGGTCACATCACCCTGAACTCTGGGGACAAGAGGGACGGGCAGGCCCCCGGCGCTTTGCTGACCCCTGAACCTCTCTCCCCGTTAGGTGACGGTGTCCTGTGACSATGGCTGGACACTGACGGGCTGTAACGCCCTTTCCCAGAGCCCCAGCTCCATGGGAGCCTACACCGTGGACAATTCCTGCGTGGCAGCCGCTGTCCCKGGCAGCTCGGCCGTGGCCATCGCCATTTGCTGCCGGAGCCGGCCGTAGGCGCGGGATGAAGTGACTCCTGTGGCACAGCAGGGATGGAGGCTTTGCTGGATCCTCGTGTCCCTGAACCAGGGCCTTTCCAGGGATTCCAGCACGATCCAGGGATTCCAGCACGATCCAGGGATTCCAGCACGATCCACGCCCCCACACGTGGCTGCTGTGACCTCCAGGCTGTGCTGGTGGGGGATAAACTCTGCTCCCCCTCGCACAAAGCTCTCTTCAAAAGCTCTCCAAGCAGCCCCCATGGAGCTCTCCATGGAGCCCTGCTCCATCACTGGAGTCATCCCAKAATCCTTTCCCTGCCGTGCACTCGATCTTCCTACACACACCTCGACTGTGCAAACCGTGGTGGACTCACCCAACCTATGACAAACCCATCACCTTTTAAAGAAAAAAAATACTGTGAGGATTGCTCCTTCCTTTCCTGGTTAGTTGCTCATTAGTTGTCAGCTAATGCTGCTTAGCACCTGGAAAATCCTAGTTTAGCCGTTTTTGGGCAGTTTTATAATTGCCTGCTCGTATTCCTAGGAGACTTCTTTACTTTGGAGTCAAGTGTGAGGGCTGTAGTTTAAACAGTCTGCTTGGTTAATTAGATTTTTATCTGCATTGCTACAGTCAGCTACTGCTTCGTTAGTGCTTTTTTTGTTGTTAAGTCAAAGTTAATGATCTGCTGGTGTTATGTGTTAACAGTTTCAGGTCTTCCCAAGACACATAGAACTGTAGGAGGCTGTAATTCCTTTAAAATAGAACGAAGAAAAAGCTTTCCTGGCACCTTAGTTTTTACATTTGTACTTTAAATATTTATTTGGGATTTTATAAATAAGCATTTTATAAATGTCTTTTTAAAATAAAATTCATAGCCCGATGCTCGTGTGGTGTGTGGTCTCATGGACATCCCACTGGGGAATGGGTCTGGAAGAGGGAAGGGGAACCCATCCAGCAGGGATTCTGCTCCCCCCAAAAAAATACTCTGCTTTGTTAATGAGCAAGCTATGAGCCCCCWCCTCAGATCTGATCCCTGCCTGGGGTCCAGGGTGTCTCTGGATGACCACTGGTGACCTTGGAGGTGAGCACAGAGAGCAGGGAAACCCTCACCTCACCCGGAGCAGGGCTGAGCTCGGGGACTGTGTTGTCCCACACACAGAAGAGACCAAAAGTTTGTTTTAACAACACTGGTGCAGTGCAGRAGCTCCCAGTTATGGAAACAAACATCACCCAGCTTCGGGGAATGTGCCCTTGAACTTGAGTTGCTTCACTTGGGAAGGGTTGGAGCCCCAGGAAGGAGACAAAGCTTGGCCGAAGGAAAGGCTGAGAAGCACCAGGAGCCACCAAAGCTGTGTCTCACTTTTCTCTCAGCGTTTAGCAGCCTCCTGGTAGCACAATGTGTAATTTTTTTTTGGTGTTATCTGAGGACAGATGAAAATAAAATACAGCTTGATAGCACAAGCACCTGGTTAACCTGTCAAACGTGGCTGGGTTGGGTGTTTTTCCCCACCCAAAAGCCCCCTGCAGCTCTGTTACTCCAGCTTTAATTGGCAAGAGAAGACAAACCCGGCACAAAGCAGCACTTTGAAAGGTTGAAACTAATTCTAACTTGTTAACTAAAGCTGGCAAGAGCCCAACCCTAATCTAAACATGTAATTATATAACATGGACATAATTACAGCCCACAATTTAATCAGCTGGAACCTGAATTTTGCACAAAGAGGCAGAAAAGRAAAAGGGATTGTCAGCCTGAGAGCTCCTGGACGGCTCTGACAGCGAGGGTGATTTTTCAGCAGACTTCTGAGGCTGTCACCTCTCAAAACACACATCAGGATCTCAGCTCTGCTGCCTCCCCTGCGAGAGGGGAGGATCCAGCTCAAGGTGTGAGCAGGTTCCATGCCTGATAAGCCACAGAGAGCTTCCCCTGCTCAGTTCAAGCCTTCATGAGCCTGGTGGAAGGAAAAAAGTATTAAAAGAACAGCCCTTGCTTTGTGCCTCGTACATGGGTGGGTGGAAAAGCCTCTCGAGTTCAGGAGAGCAGCGCTGATCTTGATCCCAGTCCTTTTTGCAGAGCCCAGTCCATGCTCCCAGGAGCACCAGTGGAGAGCAGAGGATGGGTCAGGAAAAGTGGAAGTTGTTGTCCTTAGAGCAGGGGAGAAAGGAGCAGCACACGAGAGTGGGGATGGCAGCCCTGGCTGGAGCTCCTGGCTCCCAAATGAGGGGAACACCAGCTCCATTTGCTCCTCTCTGCTCCCCTCTGCACTCAGAGATGGTGAATTCACACCCAGATCACCCACAAATCTCGGATCTGACACACCAAAGCTGCTCCCATCCACCCTGTGAGTGTGGCCAGGGTGAATCGCTCTGCTGAGGGCAGAAGCTGCAGAGGTGCAGATGTGACAGTGCCCCACACACACCATGGCAGGATTTACAGCAGGGCAGCTCCAGAGCTGCTCAGCTGCTTCCAGTGACTCTGGAGAGGAGCCAAAATGGCAATCAGGGCACCCTCGAGGAGCTGCAGGGCTGGCCAAGGAGGTTCAGGATAAGAGGATCAGCGAGACAAGGGCAGAGCAGTGTGTGCACAGTCTAAAGATTACACTAATTTTCTGTGAAAGGAATAACTTTATTCCATTGACCAGGAATCCCAAGACTGTTCATCAAGACTGCCCATTTTTCCAGTGCCAAATGTCTATGCATTAATTGGACAATATCTCCCAGAGTGCTCACAGGCAGGCTGTGGCTGCTCCTCACTGAACATTTTGTAAGCTGTATAAAAACATTTTCATCCAAAAAGATTGGCAGTAAAAATTACAACATATAAATGCATCACAATTTACACAAAAACTAGTTTGTTTTTTGTTTGTTTTTTTTTTTTGTCGAACTCTATTTTCCAAAAAATAATCTTCAGCAGGTTCAAATGACAGCAGCTGGAAACAAAAATAATAGACCAAGTATCATCTTATTGCAAATTATAACCACTGATTTTGTACAAGCGTGAGCAGAACCGTGAAAAAGTTTGTATTGGTTTCAAGTATACAGTGGTGATGAGCCATCCTGCTGCAATTCCCACCAATGCTTCCCTGGGCCTATTTCCATAGGAAATAACAGGAACCTSAAGTGACAAAGTGGTGCCAACCCACAGGAACATGACCAGCTTCTCCCAACACCACCACTGCTCTGTACTGACTTCTCGGGAAGGTTCGTGACCCATTACCAAAGTATTTGGGGGTATTGGGGGGGGGGAAGGAAGGAGGGGGCGTCCGTAAGAAATGATTTATTCAAAATTAATTTAAAACGTCACATTTAAAATGTCCCAGCACATCATCAGAAACATTTATAAAATGCTAACTCTGCCGGTGTGTCTACGCAGACGTCGCTTGGAAAAAAAGAAAAGCCAGAGATTCACTASGGTGCCCCCCCTGCCCCTGCAATCCGTGACGCCGGCTCTCCTACCCCACAATAAGTTATAAAGCTGTACAGCTGACATCACATCCCGTGGTTACTTCTGACAGTGAAATGACTGGTTACTTGCAATATTAGTGCACAACAGTGAAAAGCTGTCTGCTGCTCCGTGTTTCGGCGGCAGCGTGTGAAAAGAAACAAAAAAAAAAAAAAGGCACTTTTTGGCTGGTTGTGCCTTTAACTTGGCAAATTTGTCTATTCTGGAGGTACCCAGGCACTCCTTAAGATGTCCCCCGTTTCTGTGCATGTTTGTTTATATAATTTTTTTTTAAAGTAAGGCAGAATCCATAAATAAAGGCAAAAAGCAGTGCAGAAAATGTGACAAACRCAAAATGTACAAAAGATGAAGTTAGTTGGCACAAAAGAAGCTTGAATCCAGAGCCAGAAATCACTGAACTGCACTTGACAYAGAAAACAAAACTGTGCTCAAATCATCCCAACTGGTTTCCAGTTCTTTGTGAGCAAATTAAAAGAGCTGTGATATTTTAAATGTTGCTTGGTCAAGTGAAAATACAAACAAAGCCAATTCTTTCTTTCCCCGTGTTAAAACCGCTATAAAATCTGCACAACAGTGTTCCCAGCTCACTCAAGGAATTATTCATCATATACAACCAATACCAACTTTCTCAGTAATTTCAAAGCATAAGCAAGTGATTGCAGATCCATGACTGAGACTACATTTTATTCAATATGTCTCCAAAGGTTAAAAAAATTTAATGAGTAAAACTGCAACAGAATTCCTTCTTAAAGTGCTTTTTTCTTTCAAACTGCTCATTAACTTTTTTTTTTTTTAATTCACCRACATCCTTGAATAATAAATGCTTGCATACCTTAGAGAACAAAGCTTTTCTTTTACTGCCCTTCCCAGTTGTCTAAAGAGTTTTTGGAAGGGTACTGGGAAAGATGACTCCAGAGCTCCTTGACCAAATCATTCCGTAAGGAATCACTCTTCTTACAGAGCAATCCTACTGATCTCTCTCATCAAGAGCTTTACAAATTAGCAGGGAGACATATTAAATACAGAAGTCCTTATGTAAACCCATTCTTTAACTAATATTTTACAATGAAATGTAAGTCATCACACATCTTTACAGAAATTTGAATATTCCTATTCAATATTATCAGAAAGATTAAAAATTTGCCCTCCATACATAAGGGCAGTCTGTTTCTTTTTTTTGTTTTCCTGTATAAAAACCAAAAGAATTTTTTTTGCAGCATCACAGAAAAGCAACAGTTTTACATTCACTCATTTAATGTTCACATAAAAATTCAACCACTAGCGTTTGTGTATTTGATAAAATCTTCTTGACAAACTCTGTTTCGGTGTTYTGGACTGTCACAAACTACTGCAGGTGAAGATGCAGTTTTCTAGAGCATCTGTTGATCTGAAGCCTTCATGGCTAAAAAATGCTTTCATCTTTCAGGGAATTAACCTCCTCCAGCATCTCCTCTGGTCCTGTAAAGCCACTGCTCTTCTCCCAGATTTCCAACAGCATAAGCAACACGACTCCAGTTCCAGTAGGTACCAGGCATTGAACGTTTGAGTTGGTTCTTGTGTTCACAGGGGTCTCCTCTAAGGGTCAACATCATCAAGGTCACTTTTAGGCTCCCCAATCATCATAGGAGACTCTGAGCCCTTTGAACACACACAAAGGACAGGGAGAGAAGGACACAGTTACTTTTGCAAGATGCACAATGGTTGTGGTCAGTGATGGYTCTGACCCAAGCTGCAGGGAGCAGCTGCCCCACAGAGCAGAGGGTAAATCTGATTTTATTTTATTTTACCTGCTGCAGGTGCCTCTCTCCATTCTCGTTGGCGGGGCTGCTTTCTGACCCATTGCTGCTTCCAGACTGATCCTTCTCRTTCAGCAGGGCTGTGGCATAGGCCAGAGTGTCCTGAGTTGGAAACAGCCCAAGAGAGTGTCAGAGACCATGGTGATCCATTAATTTCACAATTATTACTTTGAAAAATTGTTGTTATTTTATTATTATTATTTTAAAACAACAATAGCTGCTGCAGTGAGACAGCTGAGTCACCACAGGTGAGTACTGACTAATATCACTCAGGGTAGTTTTTTCAGAAACAACCACAGGGTGTGAGCTTCTAAAGGAAAAACAGCCCAAAGTGCCTATCACAAAAATGGAAATATCACAGAAATGGAAATATCACAGAAATGGAAATATCACAGAAATGGAAATATCACAGAATGGAAAAGACCTGGAAAAGATCATCAAGCCCAGCTGCCAACCCAGCACCACCACCACGTTCACCACTAAATCATGGCCTCAAGTGCTGTATCCACACACTTTTTTGAACACTTCCAGGGATGGTGACTAAAGCTGCCAAACCCAAAGATGCTTCCAAGAAAAGAAGCGAGCAAGTTTAACATCACCTGCCAGGACTGACACATACC